ATTTGGTAGTAATTACTTCTTAACAGTTGATCCCTGAGGGTATCGTATTTAGATGAAAACTGGCAACAACGGCAAGAGATGGAGACTGAAATGGCCACTTCTGGCTTATAAGCCGTCATCAATCGCGGGTGGTGCAGCAGCCAAGGGTCGAACACGATAACTGTGGATCTGAGGTCCCAAATTCTAACCACTGGGCTACGGGTTTGCTGTCTTCCCAGTTTAGATTGAGAAAAGTTGCATTGGTGGGCTGTAGCGACCTCCTATTCTAAGCCATACTTTGCTCGCACTCGTCTGAGGCATGTCCCGCATGACTGGCTCTCGTGTCCATCAACACGTGCGCTTCAGGCTATTTCAAAGCTCCGGTTAAGGTTGCGGACGTCTGTCTGTCCTAACGGACCAATCACTTCCCAAGGCCAGTTCACAAAGGACCCTATTGTGGTGACTGCTTACGCTCAGACACTCCTGGAGCCGATGACCTCACGCAGACGTCCGGACTCGGCGACTGCACCAGCCGGACTACTTCGTATCCCACAGGTCCATCAATCGGTTGCGGGACACACTGGTCCTGGTAGTGCTCCCCTACGTACAAATCCTTCCGTCGTACAGCAGCTGGTTAGAAATGCATTAAGGCTGCTAGCCAGACCACTCGAGTCTCGCTTAGATATCAGCTTACGTACTGAGTTGCTGTTACGCAAAGCATCAATCAGACCGGTGTTAGTATATGCCTGTGAAAAATGGCCAGTGAGAAAGACAGACATTCTATGGCTCGAAGTCTTTGACTGTCGGTGTCTTCGAAGTCTCTTAAGAGTCTTCTGGCAGGATCGAATTTCCAATTTCGAGCATTACTGCAGGTCTAGCATCATACATCCAGCATCGCCGACTGCAATGATTTGGCGATTTCCTGCGCAAACCGGCGACGGACCTCTGCAGATTGATCTTGAACCCCTCTTGTAGTGCAAACTGAGAATACCGACATGTCAGTACAAATGAAAGACGTGGCTCAACATCATCAAGTCGGACGTCGAACGGATGGGCTGCCGCTATCCGTGACGTCCGTGAAGCCGATTCATACCTCAACAGGAGCTGATCGGATTAAGTACAAGTACGGCTGCTGGCAGAACTTTTAACATATTTCATATGTGATGCAAGTCTAACTAGTTTGACCCAATCCTAGCAATGTTACACGAAGGGAAAGCTAAGAATTGCGCCAATCACGAGAAAACGATTTCACGAGGGAAAAATTAACGAGCTTTTGATTCACAATGACCTCGAAAAACTGTGAGTTGGAGGATAACCAACTCACGCATGCAAAATCGACGGCCCAGAGACTAAAAACCCAGTCGCAATCGCGCTCGCGATCGATTTTCCTTAATGAGACCACGTGATAATTATTATTGATGCAACGTCAGGTGAATGTGTCAAGTGCGAGCGGTGGATAAAAAAAGGACGACTTAACTATTACGCTGGATCACGTCTCCAGTCGGCTTTACTGGGAAGGGGGTTTTAAGAAAAAATTATCGGAGACAAGAAAGGAAAAATGAGGTGAATGGTGTTAGGAGTCACCCTAACAGAAGCGGGAGCAGACAGCCTTAGCTAGTCGCGCCCACTCCAAGCTATCGATCCGCATACACGCGGCGCAAGTAAGCTGGCAATCAATTGATCATTTAAAATTTGAAGTTCCGGCCAGGCTGGGATTCTAACAAACTAGCCGCATGAGTCACGAGCCAATCGAGTCGCCACTCGCACGAAGACAGTATCTGATTGGCTGATGGACATGGCTGTAGACGCGTTTGTTTAGTTTAAATATGTTGTACTAAGTACGCTAAAAAAAACTCTGCTTCTGCGCCCCTTCTTATCCCGTTCTTCTTTGGCGGTTCAATCAAGGCCGCATAAGGCCGCTACATCTCAGCCTTGGCAACAATTACAACGAATGATGTCCAAAGTTCCCCTTACAAAATTGGATAGCAGAGAGATAAATGTGACTTACACATTGCGAATTTTCCATTGGTGGTCTCAGCTAGCTCGCGTTCCTGAGAATGAAAGTCTCGACCGCCAGGCAGAATGAGGGCACCCGTTTTGCGTAGCTCAAATACACGTTGAGGGCAGAGTTGGCGATTGAGAATGAAATGCACTAGGCCGCCGGAAACAACCTGTAGGCCCCTGCTCGCGCCTGCAGAGTCGTTTGAGCGGGGGGACCAGAGTTCACGCAGATTATCGTTACCGCGCACCTCCAAAACAGTCCTGTAAAAATGAAGGAGGGGGGCGGTGCAAGAGAGGTGAACTTTCGCAGGACAGAACAAAGGCAGAAGGTCTATTATTTCCATTTGAACAGAGTTGGAAATTCTCTACGTCCATTTCTATTGACTCCCTGATAGACCCCACTAAAATTGTCTACCTTTTACGAAAGGCTGTTCCCCTCTTCCTCTGAACTGCGTGCCCAAATCCCCTTCCTCCAAGAATTATGTTCCTGTTGACCCCTTTTGTTTCCAGTCGAATGCACATTGGTGTTAAAACTATTCCCC